CCTGGTCTCTCAGAGTCCAGTGCTCAAACCACTATGTCACGCTGACTCTAGAGACCAAGGTTCAAATCTCTGCACAAACATGGACACGCACTGGGTGACCCTGCAAGTCAAACTCCCTCAGCCTTACAGGAAGACAATGACCAACCTCTGTGGAAGCAGGATGGTGCAGTGGTTTGAGTGTTGGTCTAGAACTCTGGGAGACCAGGGTTCGAATCCCTGGTCAGCCACAGAAATCCACTGGGGGATGTTGGATAAGTCACACTCTCTCTTACACATTAAAAAAAATCCATAGTACAACAATTCCCTAACCCACCCTCCCCTTAAAAAGTATTAAACTAGTCAATTTTTAAAACACAAAATACAATAAAACCAAATCATACAAAGTAAATCCTACTTTGTAGGTATCCTACTTTGGCTACTTAGGTATATAGGCATAACTAAATAACATCTGAATCCACAGCAAGCTTTCCTGGACAAATCTTGCCAAGGATATCCTATTTTGAGAGGAATTGTGATGTAGTGCGTTGAGTGTCAAAGTGGGACTCTAGGAGACCAGGTTCGAATCCCTGCTAAAAACCCACTGGATGAACTTGGGCAGGTCTCACCCTCACAGCCTCAGGGGAAGGCAATAGCAACCCCCCTCTAAAGAATTTTTAGGATCCAACATAATATAGAGGTCCATGCATCCATGTTTTCACTACACCATGCTGGCTCTCTGATAAAAAGATTGATTCACAAGGGGTTGGTGTTGTCTTCCTTGGAGGCTGAGAGAATGAGACTTGCCCAAGGTCATCCAGTGGGTTCCTTGCCTGAGTGGGGATTTGCACCTGGATTTCTTAGAGTCTTAGCTGCACTCTCAAACCACTATGCCACACTTGATATTCATGCAGAAGTATCCAACAAGATTCCAGCAAATGGTTCCCTCCAACTTTTCCATCCATGTCCTTCCTGGAAGCAACTAGATTCTTGGCAGAATCTGAATCACAGATGGGCCAAAATTCCAGTCGGCAAACATTTTGGAAGATTGTGAGATTGTGGTTCAATACTGCAGCTATGGGTTTGTAATCTTGGCTGCATCTACACTGCAGAACAAATGCAGTTTGACACCATGGCTCAATGGTATGGAATTTTGGCATTTGTAGTTTTGTGAGATATGTAGCTTTCTCTATCAGAGAGCGCTGGTGCCACAAAAACCTACAGATCCCAGGATTCCATAGGATGGAGCCATGGCAGTTAAAGCAGTGTCAGACTGCATTAATTCTGCAGTATGACAGCAGCCTTAAAGTGGACTCCGATTTACAGTGAGAATTTTCTTATCAAGCTTTAATATGGGAAGGTTTGTCATGTCCGTCCTCTGAGGCTGTAAGACTGTGACTCACCCAAGGTCTCCCAGTAGCTTTACATGGGCAAGCAGGGATTTGAACCCTGGGCTCCTAGAATTGTGGACCTGCAGCTGCTCTGAATTCTTATGTAGTTGTATGTAGTCTTAAGGTGCATCTTCACTGTTGAAATAATAAAGTTTGACACCATTTTAAGTGCTTTATCTCCATCCTCCAGAATCAAGGAATCTGAAGTTTTACAAGGTCTTGAGCCTTCTCTGCCCAAGCAGGCTGGTGCCTCACCAAACTACCAATCCCAAGATTCTATAGGATGGAGCCGTGGCAGTTAAAGCGGTGTCAAACTGCATTATTTCTACAGTGTAGATGCACCCTTTCTATAAGACTACATCAATGCCATCCAAGCCGAGCTTAAGAGGCAGCAGCCAGATCGGATGAAGGATGTCCATTGTGCTTCTGATTGAAGTGCAAAGAGAAGGTTTCCTCCAGCAAGAAGCAGAACCCCTGTTGCACATCCTTTTTGTACCCTTGCTCTTTGGCACGAGGAATGTGGTGTATAGATAGATGGAAGTAATAGCACCACTCTGTTCTGCTTTGGTCAGACCTCACCTGGAATCCTGCGTCCACAATTCAAGAAGGAGGTGGACAAGCTGGAGCGTGTCCAGAGAAGGGTGACCAAAAAGGTGAAAGATCTGGAAACCAGCAAGCCCTAGGAGGAGAAGCTTAGGGATCTGGGTATGTTTATCCTGAAGAAGAGAAGGTTAAAGGGTGACATGATAGCTGTGTTAACATATCTGAAAGGATGTCATACTGAGCATGAAGCAAACTGGTAGAGAGATCCTGTAGCACCTTTGAGACTAACTGAAAGAAAGAAATTGGCAGCATTGGCTTTCCTAGACTTCAGTCTACTTCCTCGGATGCAGCTCCAGAGATTAGGACCTGGAGCAATGGGTTTGAACTACAAGAGAAGAGATTCCACCTCAACATTAGAAAGAACATCCTGATGGTAAGAGTGTTTGACAGTGGAAGAAGCTGCCTTGGAGAGTGGTAGAGTCTCCTTCTTTGGAGGATTTTCAACTGAGGTTGGATGGCCATCTGTCGGGAGTACTTTGATTGTATCTTCCTGCATGACAGAATAGAGTTGGACTGGATGGCCCTTGGGAATCTCCTCCAACTCTAGGATTCTATCTTGGAGACAGAATTCAGCATTTGACAGTTTGGACTCAAACTCAGAGCAGAGTTTCCATTCGCCAACACAAAAGCAGACAAGAAGATGAAAAAGGGGGAAAAAATGCAACCCAGACATGACAATGGAACAGGACTGGAATGCCAGTGTGGTTCTCAGAAATGCAACATGAAGAAAGGCTGGCAGATTTTCACACGCACCCTTTAGTTCCAAACCACAGTTTTTCTTTTGTTCCTTTTCACAGACACACCTAACCCTCTTGTTCCAGCTAACAAAGAATATGAGACGCCTTGTCTCTCAGATCCTGACGCTCTCCATGTTCAAAACCACCCTGGAACAACTAGTTCCCACAAAGACACATTTCTTGGCACATCCTAAATCATTACTCAGCAATATGCCAAACAAAAAAGATTGGCTGACCCAGCTGGCCTTGCTTAGACCAGTGTAGAAAATCATGATTAGTTGCCAATCTTCTACATTATTTAGTGATGTATATTGAGTAACATCTCCTGACCCAACCAACTTAGCTCACCTTAAAAACCAGAAGACAGATTGGGTGAATAAGGTCCATTCCACTTCCCATCAAGGCACAAGGAATCATAGAACCATAAAGTTGGAAGAGACCCCAAGGGCCATCAAATCCAACCCCATTATAATAAAACAGTGTCCCTTATAAAGTAGAAAATATCATGGTTTAATTTTCAAGCTGTGGATAGATGAATCTGTGAATAAGGAATCCGTGCATATGGAGGGCTGGCGATATGTCCATAGGCAGTGATATGCTATACCTGCACTATGCAATCCCCATGCAGAACAGCAACATTGTCTCACATCTCAATGATTCGTCATTGTGAAATATGAAATGCACAATAAACTATGTACAACACCCAACGCTGGATGTGTTCTCACTGATCCACCCTTAAACAACATGGAAGGAGCTTATCCCATGAGGAAAGAAAGCAGAGGTTCAGTTGGGATATAGTGCCTTTCTATGTGCCTTACCACATGACATTAGATCTTCCGTTCTCTTCCCATGGGAGACAGTTGTAAGAGTGAGTCTTTTTTTTTCCAGCTGGAAAAATCCATCTGACAAAAGACTCACTTTTATGACCCTCTCATGCAGGAAGAGAACTGAAGAGCTACAACGTCATGCGGTAAGACACACAGAAACTTCTGCTTTCTTTCCCCATGTCTGTTTTTGTAGCAGGGGATTGTGGCAGGTTTGGGGTGGGGATTTTACTGGTTGTATAGTCAGAATAATATTCTGCCTTCTGTAATGACCAAAAAAAGTGAGCTGCAAATGATTTCCATAATTCACCAATAGGATGCCAGCCTATGTTCCTAAATTCTGCCCTTCCTTTCCGGAATGCCATCTCAAGCTGCCTTGCACTAGTACCTGGCACTGTACACATGCTGCTGAGACCCCAACAACTGGGCACAACCCACTGGCTCTGACCCTGGCTTGCTTCAACAGGTAACAGTGTACCTGAGTAGCCATTTAGGCTAAATATTTCACAAGACTATAAATCCCAGAATTCCATAGCATACACCCATGGCTGTTTGTGTCAAATTGCATTAATTCTGAAGTGCAGGTGCAGCCTTTTAGCCAGAAGATGCAGGGCAGAGCAGAGGGTGAGCCCTGGTCTCACAATGGCTGGTAAGCAAGGAGGAAGCTAACAAAGTAAATACACACCTCCCTCCCTCAAGAGTCTTTGCAAACTGCAGCAACAATCAATTAAATCTTGTAAACTATAGTAAGCTGCTGCTCTCTTAGCTGAGTTGGAGAGTTGCATACAGCCTTTTCTTCTTGCCCAGAGCTGAGCCTGTTCAAACTGGTGAATTTGCATCTGTGTCTCCTGCCTGGAGATGACTGGAGACTCAAGACCAGACTGTGAGATCTGGCAATCCTACCCACAATGCCCTGGAGAGACGCTATGTCAGGTGCCCTTCAGCATTGTGGGAAATGGGACTCCCATTTAAAAAGATTTTTAATTAGTGTGTTTCCCGGGCTGAGTGCTTTTGAAAGCTTAAATCCATTTGCTAGTCCCAATTACAGAACACCCATAGATTCGGTGCGGGAACTTGGTAAACCAACAATGATGTGATTCCATTGACTCAGTGACTCTGACCTAGTTCATACTAGCAATTGGATTTACCACTGCAGTTTAGAGTAGGTTTTACGTTGGTCCCTATTACATTGGCTTGTTGGTTTTCTATGTATGTGTGTGTTCTTTTAATTGTACATTTTTCTTAATGTTGCATTGTATCGTATTTCATGGTTATATTGCTGTGGCCACCATGGGGCAGAATCCAGAAATGTAACTCATAAATATGACTACAATCGCTCCTACTACTCATTATTTAAAATATCTCTGAATCACCCTTCCGCTCACTGAGTGTTTATGACAATTTACAATACAACTATGCAGACAATAAAATGCATATTAAAAAGAGAGGAAACAACTCAAATCAAAGAGAAGCCATCATATGTTAAAAGCTTGTTGAACCAACAGAGTTTTAACAAACCACTGAAAGGACAATAAAGACAATGCTAGATGAACCTTCCAGGGACTTTCTTCCAGAAAAGAAGGGGCAGGCACAGCGTCACCATGCCCAGGCCCAGAAAGAGACGAAAGACCCTCCCTCCATCCTAACTACCACTATTCAGGCCTTGGAGGGAGAGAAGAAGAGGCAGGCACAGCTC